TTGGTAAGTGTGACATATTATATCAGCTTATATGTAGGGGCAAAACGACTGGTCTTTCATCTGAGCCCGCGAGATAGTCATGTGATAATTGTCAGCGGATACCTAATTTTGACAGCTGTTAATCTAATCGTACTCATACGGATGGCTTCATGGCTTACATAACTAAGAGGCTAGTCTAGTTGTCCAAGATCTATTGTGACATTTGATATCGGCTTACATGAAGCGTGTGTACGGGTGGGCGGGCGGGCGGGCGGGCGGGCGGGCGTACGCTACGTCATAACCAAATTTTCTCAGATGGATAGTTTACCAAATTTTCTTACCCATGGTGCTCCGCTCTGCGCGCGCTTCGCGCGCGCGAGGAGCTCCGCTACTAATTCGGTATAGGTTTAATAATGAGTGTCTCCTTTATTCAATAGAAACAATAGACTTGCCTAGACTTGCCCGGTAAGTAACTTGAGCCTGGTTTTCGGACCGTCTATTAAAAGGAAAATAGGAGCGATGACCTAGCAACGCGAGAAACGGCTTCTCTTATTTAGCGCTAAAACTCGGATATATATACAAAACACACGCTTCATTTCAGGCTTCATTTCTTCGTGATCTTGACAGTTCGTACACTGTTTCTTGTGTCTGCACTGGATTGCGAGTACTAGTTGAGTGATTTTTTCCGGAATTATCCGCTTCACTTTCGTAAACGACGACTTTAACTTTAGGTTGTAGTTTCGCCTCTTGTAAATACTGTCTTAATAGTCAGTCAAAGGGTTAATTTTTCATTCCTTTTCCTTTCAAATCGCTGTGTATTTGACTCCTTTTGGTTTTTAAAACGGTATCTCGTGTCTGATTTTATTGCTAGCAATTATGAGTCGCGTGTTTCAATTGATCCGTGTTAACTTATTTTACGTTTTTATTATTTTTATAATAATGAGTCAAGGTTCTCTCTTGGGGTTTTTATTGCAGAACTAATTTGTATGCAACGGTGGGCTTGTGAACTCGCATAATTAACTGATAACGGTGCGTGAAACGCTGAGACTTAAATAGCTTTTCATTTCCTCGAGATAGATGGGAGAAAACGGTTCTGTAATAGTCAGACAAACTTGAAATAATGCGTTTTCAGCTCCAATTTGTGTATTTGTGAGTGTGTTTTGTATATATATCCGCGCTAAATAAGATATAGGAAGCCGTTTCTCGCGTTGCTAGGTGATCGCTCCTATTTTCTTTTTAATAGACGGTCCGAAAACCAGGCTCAAGTTATTTACCGGGCAAGTCTAGGCAAGTCTATTGTTTCTATTGAATAAGGGAGACGCTCATTAGTAAACCTATACTGAATTAGTATGCAGGAAGACCGTCATTAGTATGGAGGAAGGCACTTTTTTCCCTTGGTTATAACAATGGATGACGTCATAGACTCCACCCTTATACATATTAATTAAGGGAAGGCACCAACGAGGTTAAGTTTCAACATAGTAGACTACTATGCGACGATTTCGTGCTCGCCTAAAAAAAACTACGATTTGATGGAAAATGCGAGACAAAATCGACGGCTGCAGGTATCCATGCACAGACACACATCACCAAAATAAAACAGGCGAAGCGTTCTTATTCTGCGTTCAGTTCATTTTTATTTAGCCAAAATATAATACAATACAGGAATACATATAGAAATTGTAACTCAGTCTCTGTCTAATTCCTATTTTTAACGTATCACTCAGCGAATTTCGTTATACATTAGATCATTCTCTCTTGGTTATGAATTCATTAACAAGATATAGAAAAACGTTCTTAATTCTGGATTGCTAGGAACATAAGGAGGGGGCATCGCGAATGTAATGTTGTACACAGTAATTTATCGTTCAATTAATTTGACCGCTAAGTACGTTTTTCTCTCACAGCAAACTTTTGAATACAATTCCACTCTCTGGAGCAACAAAGAAACCTTTAACCTTGACGGAGGGAAAACTGGGTTTGACTCGCAGGAGACCAAACTTCCCTCCTACTGGAACACATCCTTCTCCAAGATCTGCCTCGGTATGAAGATCAATGACAACCAGCACAAGTTTATTGTTATCAACAAGCAGGCGAACTCCTTGTACTCTCTGATCACTGATGGGCAATACCGCGCCACCTCACTGGGTCGTGACACGTGGAAGTCGCTGATCGGTTCTGAGGCGTCCTTGCAGTACAACTGTAACAGGGAAGGGTTCAATGCTGTTGGTGACAATCCTGTTACTCCCAAGGCAAGAATCGGGATCGTTAGTAACAACCAAGACGGTTGCGCCTCTTGTGACTCTAGAATTGGATTTGGCACTGGTGGATATCCTGATAAGAAAAACTCATGTGGAAACGTGGCTGTATCTTATTCAGATAATGGTGATAAATATATTAAGACAATGGGATATATTTTGGTGCAGTGAAAGAAAAATGATCTGGGCTAATTTACTTTTGGAGCCAAACGAAAGCTATCTTAAGGGGCTGGTCGTTTATTAACTGTGACGGAGAAGTGGAGGGAGAGGGGGAGGGCGGCATTTTACTGGATGTTCATTTTCAAAAACTTGATTTTTGGGAGTCATTCTCAGATGAGAAAGCTTTTAATACCTGGGGGTCATTTTAATAAATTTCATGAAAGTAGTAAAAAGGCAGTAAGGAGCGGGAATTAAAATTGAATGTACAAGCCGTGAATACTATTCGACTGATCATAAAGATAAATCATGTTCAGGTGAACGTCAACACGATTTCATCAAAAATCAGTGATTCGTAATTTCCACAGCAACCAGGTTCTTCTGTTTAAGGGAGGGATGATCACTTTCACGATATGTAAAATTTATGAGGGGTCATTTTTAGAAAGCTGTGATGCAGAAAGGGTTCAGTTTGAAAATCTTCTAAGCCTTCTCCTACTTCTCAAAATGGCGGTTTCCCCCCCCCCCAACCTCACAGGTAATAAACGATCAGCCCTTAAATTACCTCTAGATCCTGTCCATTTTTTTGCAGATAAACAATAGGTTATTTCTAGATGGAATTAATGTAAATTATTATGCATAAGAAATAAAAGATATACTGGAAAACCAAGATAAAAATCTTTAACTAAGTTTAATTTATCCATTGCTCCTCATAGTTTATTCGCACAATATTTCATTTTGAGATTGTATGTCACCAAGTGGGCTGGAAAAGTTTTCAGATTGGGATGATCTTTCTCAAACTGTGATCAACCGGTTCCAGAGTAGGGTTAATCGAGGTTGCACCACGCACTGATGTAAAATTTGCCGGGGAAATTTACGGCTGATACGGTTGCTGCGTAGACAATCTGCGAAGACCACGTTTGACGTGTGAGGTGATAAGCTGTGATAAGAGAGGGAAAGGCAGACTTCACATCAGTGAAACATTTCCGACATTTTGTTTTTTTGAACAGGATATGGGTTCATTGCTGTTGTTGTTTTTGTTCGGAGAGAGAAGGATGAATGGCGCCAGCTCATGAACACCGCCGAAGAAAGGGCGATTATTTGAACTGAGACAAGATCATTACACAGCCAGCATTATCTCACCAGTATTTTTTAAGAGCCTGGGTTAGTGTCAGCCTAGTCCCTAGGCGTTCTCTCTTGATCCGTTGTCCGCGCGAAGTCTCGGTGACTTCACAGCCTATGGTAGAGTCCAGGAATGACCGAGCCGAAAACGCCTGGGGACTAGGCTGGGTTAGTGTTTTGTCCAATTGTTTTATCCCGGATTTAAACTGGGCCTCTCGCTCGGCAAGTCTGAACCCGTGAACGGGCCGAGCAGTGGTTACAGGCATGCAAATCGATGAGAAGACTTTTTTGGTTCAAAGCAAACGGTAAGGACACAGACATGCGTGCTGGGATGTTAAAAAATAACAGGGACAGTGCTATTTCAGGTAAATTCTGAAGATGAATCTGACGATGTCTACCACGGCACAGGTTGTCGAAACGTCAGTCACTGTCAACAACGGTACTACGATCACCTGGACGATCATTCTCAACCTAATTTTGAAAAACTTTTGAAATCGATTTTGAAATGACTCCTGGGTTCAAACCGAGCCTCGATTGCCAGTCGCTGTTCGGAAAACCAACAAAGCTCCTCCACCGGAGACATAATTAAAACTGTAGCTTTTTGTTCTTCATTATTTGGCGCGGGATTCTCCTTTTTAATGTTTTTCTGTCAGTGATAATGACTGAGTAACTGAGACAGCTTATACTAGGTTAGTTTTGCGTGATTATCTTCCCTCGCTACTGTACAAGTCGCTATTTATTTTTCAACCATTTTTTATCCTTAGTGCAGCAACCTTAGCTTGTGACACAGCAAGCGGAATTTCTCAGTGCCTTGTATTTATGCATTAGTACTGCAAACAAAACTCAACGCAAGCAGTCGGCTGATTCCAAAAGGACGCTAAGGCTTCTGAGAACAAACATCTTAGGACTGAAAAAAGCATTTTCCGTTGATACATAAAGATCGAATTTGATTCGCAAAGTAATATTTTAGTTGACAAATATCTAGAGCGATTTTGCTTTGGAAGTATATCGCTTGTGAAGAAGGCGGTTGTGATTCTGGTTTCCATCCTCGTACCTTTCTGCCACCTAAAATGTTTTTTTTTTTTTACATTCTATCGTTGCATTATTTTTTCATTCAAGTTCTCTAACT